AATATTTTAAATTCAGTAAAACAATGTCAATATCATCTAAAACTGATTAAAGCTTGGAATATTGTAATTCTGATTGTGTTTTACATTGAGATCGATAGTCTGGAAAAGGAGCTAGAGATTTTCTAAAGTTACGTAATGTATTAAATGAATAAAATAACTTCAGCACTATCTATTGGCAGTATCTGGCATTCTGCCGCGCATAATATTACCTACATGTGTTGTTGATCCTTCGAAAAACACTATGACGAGTCCGCCGGGCACCGCCACAGCAATCAGACGGACAAATGGCCGTCGTTTCCGCGCGTCATCCGCCGTCGAGCCACTTTCGTCCTATTTGTTCTATGCCTTACCTTAATTACCCCGCCCAAAAGAAACACCGCTGAATGGCCGTGTCATCGGTAACAATAATAAATTGTCGCCGTGACGTGTCTGTGAGCTGTGACGTCGGCGACCACAGGCTGCGGAAGATTAGACCGCTATCAAAATGTTCTGGCCATGCCGTTTATAATTTTGGCTTAACTTGGAGTTGGGTGTTTTAAAAACATTTTGGATAAAACAAAATTAAAGTTATCGGAAGAAAATAAAAACATTATTTACCACAAGCCTGCATTTATACCATTATTTTCAAGCATAATGCTTGAAGGTTCAATCAAAATTAGCTGTTAAAAGATAGGTTTGATTTGCCCACTTTCTCTTCGTTAACCTACCCCTGGCTATCTATAGATATTTTAATAGTTTTTTGGCACCTGTTGAAAAAAATATGCCCCACACACGTCCAAGTTAACTAGATAACTTTTTTATCACCAGCACGCAACATAACATCTGTATGTAGATTGTCTTCTGCTCCTATCTGTTTTGTGTTCAGACACTGACATAGCTGCTTCCACCTCACACTGTGGCTCCTCACCGTTCCATGACGTCGGCCCGAAGATGGATGATCGCCCTATCCCAGATATTCACGAATCGTGGCCACCGCTACGAGCCATGATTGGCAGTAAAGGGTGGTGAACTTATTTGAATATTATCTGATGGCGTTCGTGGTTGAGGATTCCGGGTGAAGCTCGCTTCCACCTTCGGCCTGATCGTCACTTACCATCAGGTGAGATACAGGCCATGAGCTTCCTCGTTGTGGATAAAAAAAAAAAAAAAGATAAATTGCCTCAGCTTAAATTAGGTGAGATTTTTATTTAGATTGCTACCGGCGGGGTGCTCGAGCTTAAAACCCAGACATGTACGAGTGCCGTTTTAAACTGTGATATTATCAACACCGAAAAAAGTTGTTAAATACTTCAAATGCTATGTATGAAGGTTATTTTATTGACTGGGTCATTAACCTTCTCTTATTTCCAATATCATTAATTTTCTCACTTCCACAGAAATGAGAATATTTAATTTCAATAATGGCAACGTTTTCGCACTGTGGTTAATCCAATATTCACGTGAAATATCACGGTCTGTCAATCACGGTTGTTCTGCGAAACGAAATATCACGTTACCATTTGCTATAGATCCGGGCAATATAAATTAGTTAAAATAAACTGAAACATCAAAACGACGCTGCCAATCTGTCTGAATGATATGCTGCTTTTATCAAGGAATTATTCAACTGTAATTTTTTACTAATTGTAATTGAAATGTTATTTCGGATCCGGTGATCCGGTGTAATGTGAACACCCTTGTCCGGTTTCCGGCAGAAATGCCGGTCCGGCATAGTGGGAACCCGGCCTTATTGTTACACTAGCTTTCCGCCCGCGGCTTCGCCCGCGTGGAATTTTGTCTGTCACAGAAAAACTATATCGCGCGCGTCCCTGTTTCAAAAACCGGGATAAAAACTATCCTATGTTCTTTCCCGGGACTCAAACTATCTCTATGCCAAATTTCATCAAAATCGGTTGCGAGGTTTAAGCGGGAAAGCGTAACAGACAGACAGACAGACAGACAGACAGAGTTACTTTCGCATTTATAATATTAGTTGGGATTAGTTGGGATAGTTGGGATAATAAATTGCGAAAAATATTTTAAAACATATTCTTAAGAAGCATATCGTGTTAGCCGTAATGCACTGATCGGAAAAGCGACGTCAGCATAATCTGCGATGTTGAAAAAATAAACTATAACATTTTGGAATAGATCTCGCGGAAGTGTTTTCTCTATCCACCGGCTAAAGCGCTTCCTTCCAGCCCCCGGGGGCTCGACAGCCGTTTTCCATTACCACGGTAACCGCTACATGAGTGCGCATAGCTTTCAGCTTTCAGGCTCCGCTGGAGGTTATGTCTTGAGGTGCGAATATCGGAAGTTAAAATATTTTCCTTGTGCCGTTCCTCGTATATCGTTTCAAGACAAAACGTCAACATATTGATTTTGGGTTCCGTACGACGACCGTTGGAAGTTTCAGCGTGTGTCTCATGATTTTAGTTATGACTCTAAACGCTCACAAGGCATTATGGCAATAAAAAGCCATGATGCGGTCTCATTAGTTGATATCCGACAGACGTTATAGTAAAATTGGTCGGCAGGTTTTTCGTCCCTTTTAAATTCAAAATACACTTTTTTTTGTAACGTAGAAACTAACATGACAAGTACGATTAAAACACCTTATTGCAGTTTGCGTTAAATGGATCAACCAATAGTTTCGTAGAAACTTCTATCTACATACTAGCTTTGTCCTTCATTCTTTACACCGTCGACATCGTCTAGAACTTCTGAAAGCCTAGGCATATCTAGATGAGAAAACTTTGTAGGTGCGACAATATTCCTCACACCTTCCTGAGTCGGTCAAATACTTTGTGGACTTGCCACAGATTAGGCACGGAACTTATTTAGGGTTTTAGGACTAGATTGACAGTAGAAGAACTAGTATTGATGAATTAACGTTTAGATAAGTTTGGAGTTGCTATGTCTAGTGTGCGAAATCTTTGGTTAATTTGAACGCTTCTGAAACGTTAATAAATCTATTTTTCTCGAGTTGACTGCAAAACTAGTTACTTACGACTTTTTTTCTTTGACATCAAAAAATCTCACACAATACACTCAGTTAACATCGATTCTATACGAATATACTCATACGGGTACTTGCTCCTTCTATACGGCTTGAAATCCATTTATTTTTCTGATCGATTCGTCGAACCATAATAATGTTTACATTAGGTTTGGTGCGACAAAGGAGTAACAATAAAGTTTCATCTAACTATAATATGTATCAGAATTCATCAGATTTTCTTCTGTATGTAGTTTGAACGTAACAAATACTCGCAGTGTATTGTAATATTAGTTTAGAATCCTAATATAATATATGTGCTTAGTTTAGATTTTAGACAAACCTCAGCACGTTGAGTGCCCATCTCATCTTGGCAACCAAGTCCCCTGAGCATAGACACAGAAACTTCCTCCCGACTGAACTCCGCTAGATAGAATAAAACGTTACATAACTGTAGTTAAAGTTTACAGTCTTGTTGTTAAGCCAAGATTCATATCTTACGAGTATGTCTTCCATGTTGCTTTTTAATCAAATGAATTCTAAGAAAATTGCCTAGAAATCTACACATTAATTAAAATTTTTTGGCAAACGTCGTCATTGAGGACTCGAGAGACAAACATTTGGCTTGCGCCTAAATGAAAAACATAGCTTTACACTTAACCACTCAACAGTTAAACAAAGACTATTATCCAAACGTATGTCCCCAATAAATGTCCCGATAGATAGTGATAGATGCGGCGAACCTTGGAGAAAATATGTTTACTGCGACATCTCTTCAAACTCGTAAGTCGCGGGAAGGGCGCGTATAAATAATGCCACAGTGGACCGGTCTGCCGCAATTTACAAACTTTTTTTTATATTAATGAGGAAAAATTTTGTCAACTGTAGAATGTACCTACATTCTTAGTGAATGAAACATTCATATTGTCTTTCAACCTAAAAATACTGAAGATAATAAAGGTGGTGATAATGAAGCATAAATTACTACGATTTATAAAAATGCTGAAACATCAATAGTATGTTCTATTGATGTTTCAGCATTTTCACAACAAAATTTTAGCATTACCTTAATTTGTAACTTGTGTTGTTCCTGGAATATGTAAGGCAGCTATTTCGAGCACAAAGCGGTGGGCGAGTCCCTAGAGACGAAATTGTACCTTTCATTTTAACCTAAGCCTAACTGCCAGATTCCTCCTGCCCTCGCCTGTGACTTGTGCACGCTGGAACAAAGCGTCTTGCAGCGCTGAGTGAGCTCCCCGAAGACGCTTGATAGCCTGACACACAAACGATCGGTTTAATTTATACCATCAAGCTGGTCTGATTTACCTACAAATGAAGATGGATTACGGGAATTTCAATGATGGGACTTGAAGGGGGATTTGTTCTGGTAGTTGCATGGTGAATAATTTGCTACGAACCTATCAGGGTTACGATTAATAAACCACTTACTATTCTAAGTTGCCCAGTTCTATTGTAAGTGTTGTTCTAAGTGTTAAAAAAACTTTGGAAGTAGATATCTGATTTGGTACAGAACAAGTCTTCGAAAATAGCTCGCGGATACGTCTCTTTTTCGCGTCTTTGTCGTAATAGACCAGCATGTTGCTATAAGTAAAGGAGATGCATAGATCTGAAAATACAGGAACGGCGATAAGGGGTACTCGTAACTTCACTAGCGTGACCCATATTTCTTCAGAGCCCAAGACACGTTTCCCTGTTCTCCGCTCGTGGCTCGCGCCCGGCCTGGAACATATTGAAGCCCCGGGGGCGAGTGTATCCATCACACACGCCGCTCCCCCGGGACCCGGGACCGGCGCCGTGATTGTCCGACTCATTGATGCGTCAAATGCTTCAAAACATTTTAACGCTTTTTTTTTTCAATTTAGAAACAACAAAAATAACGTTTGGTTTGTTGCCGCCTGGTATTTGCATTGCAGCGTAAAATACACTGAAAATTCTGGCAGCTTTAAAAATATAGGTGTCTCTAGCTCTGTTGATTAAAGCGGTTGCATGGAAAACAATAGGCATGGGTTAGTAGAGCCAAAGCACACGATGCGTTGCGGCTTGCTTATTTATTTAAATGTTTAAAATTCACTATGCCTAATGTCAAACAAGTTAATACTAATATTACAGTAAATAATGAACGCATTGAATTGATAAACTCTACTGTCTTTCTAGGTATTACCCTAGACTGTAAATTACAATGGGGCCCCCATATTGCTGCCTTGGCCTTAGTTCAGCTGCCTTTGCGGTGAGAAAGATCAGAAACTTGACTGATGTTGAAACAGCAAGGCTTGTATATTTTAGTTATTTTCATAGTATTATGTCTTATGGTCTTTTACTGTGGGGCTCAGCAGCAGACATAGAATCAATTTTCATTTTACAGAAAAGAGCTGTTCGGGCAATATACGGTCTTAAACCACGTGACTCGCTTAGAGAAGTTTTTAAAGAAATCAATATATTGACTGTGGCTTCGCAATACATATTTGATAACATTATGTATGTCCGTAAACATATACATTTTTTTTTTTTTTTTTTTTTTTTTTTTTTTTTTTTTTTTTTTTTTTTTTTTTTTTTTTTTTTTTTTTTTTTTTTTTTTTTTGCGAATATGCACTTTTATATTACTTCAGCCACAGTGTTAAGCTTGATGTACAGTCAGCGTCAAATAGTGACACCCAAAGTAACCAATAAGTTCGCAACACGTCTTTGTTACGACTGGAATAAGGTTGGGTTGTACTTGTCAACTTTTTGGCCACTTTGGGTGTCGCGAACTATTTGACGCTGACTGTGCTGTCGGTACAGAATTTAAAGTCCAGGCGTCATCCAGGGTATTTCTAGCTTCAAATGCCCCAGATCTTGTGATCTCTAATTCGTATCACAGACAAGCGTAAGTGCACATGCGACTCATGAATAAAAAGATGCAATTCTCCCCGGATCTCCGGGTCTGGCCCGGATGACGCTGTTATTGAAGATTGTTATTGCTCATTATCCAATGTTGGCGGCGTGTTACCTCGGTCGCATTTCATGTACAGTCAGGAGAAAAGTAGTTTTATTATCAAAATATAGTCCCAAGAAAAAGATGCATCTTCTCACAAACTACGAGGAATTTTCGGAAGAAATGTTAAATTTACAGTCGGAATAAAATAGAAAGAGATGGCTTTTGTGTGTGAGATGGATTTCGGAAGAACTATTGCAGTTTGGTGTTCTATCACGGAGTTTCATCCTCGATGTCTGGAGAAAACCTGAGTTACGATCATGGTAAAATTATGATAACTAAGAATACAATACATCTGATGATAATGATGACTTGATGGAGGATTTGACATACACTCTGCACACGGGCTAGACGGTTTTTGGAGGCCTGATGTCAACATTTTCCCCTTTAGTTGGTTGTCTCTTACGGTATACGGAGAAAACAATGACATTAAATAATATTTCTGTACCCCCAGTGAAAACGGAGTTAAGTCGAAAATGGTGATTTTTGGGAAATCGCATTTGAAGTTAAAAAAAATCCTGCTTCGTCGCTATTAGAGATAACTTGGTGAAATATTTTTTAGGTGAAAGGTAATGTTAGATATAATTAGGCAGTGTGCCAGTTTGGGAAATATAGCATGTAGTTTTTTCGTAATTAAATAAANATTGACGTTCATAAGTGCCACTTGTGGTCTAAACTGAATAAATATTTTTGATTTTGATTTTTTTGATTGATTTTGATTTAGCTCTTAAAGTCCACTCACAAGGCTATCAATTTATCAAAAGAAAAATATCATTATTGTCATTTTGTGTTATGTAATTCAATGAGTTTATAAATGTACCATACGTCAATGATACCTCTGCCAGCCAATACGAGTAAGTACTTATAATTTTTATTTAACATCATCTAAATACTTTGAGTCTTCTTGTTTCCATCTTTTGCGTACGCTTATTTCGCAGTCGAGTTTTTCGTGTGTGAAATTTCCCCTCGAGTAAGTACCTACAGTCACCAGCAGATCATCCTACCAAAAAGAATTAATTTCCCTTACGGAATTTGATATTTATGTAATGTGCATAAGACTCTGAAGTCAGTTGAGAAATAAATATTTTCATAATTTAATGACTGTAAGCCTCTGCCCCAACAAGTAGTGTTATAAGTTCATATTTCCTTATTTCCATCTTTTGAGTAAGCTTTTGTTCGTAATCTTCATATCTCTGAGCAAACTGCTCGTTGAATTAAAACATTGGCGCGTAAGAATCTTCTGTGCGAGCCGATGGTCTGTTAAAATGTTTTCCCGGGAAAAAACGGGAACTTCGCCCCACCGAGTCTGAGGAATTCAAAAGTAATTACTGGGACACTTTCCACCGCGATAACTGCGTTCAGATAATAATCTGGGTTCTGCTATGTTGGCAGTTCAGTGGGAAAACAACTAAGATTCTTTTATAGACCGGAATTTAGCAACGACGACACAGTTAAAAAAGGAATTATCTTACGTGATTGTTGTTTTGCAAGTAATTTAGAAAGAAAACAAACAAAAGGATTACTTAGTCTTGTATTTGAATGTAATTGTACCAATGGTACGTACGAAACGTATATTTAACACATATTTAGCCGCCATAAAACATACAATAAATGTTATCAAATACGTCCTTTACTTTGTTATAAAACCCTTCACATGTCAAAGCATGTAATCACACAGCGGTTTCTACAAGAAAATTAACTGTACGGTTTCATTTAATATTGCTGCTGTACCTTTCTGATAAACTTGATGACGCAATGCTTAAGAACTTAGCTACTACGTCAAAGGGCCTGGGTTTAATTTTCACACAATACAATAATTAAGGTCTTGTATTGGGCTGAGTATTTCAATGTGGATTACCTGTCTAGGACCACCTACTTCACTAACGTTGTCTATCACCTTTATACAATAGATAGTAATTTATCTGATCAGTCCAGCAAATCGGGATTCAATATAGTCTAGACACAGGCAGACGAGACGGCCGATGAATAATTCACGTTGTTATAAAAGTACGCAACATTATGCGGCCGAAAATAGGACGCTACCGAATTTCAGTTCCCGCGGAATATAATTTGACCTCCATTGGTGGAAGTCTATCGTCTACCTATATTTTCAATACCTAGCTCTTTCTAGTATTCCTTTAATGTAGCCTGACATAGATCAAACTGACCAAGGATCTCCACTCTTCGACAGATGAGCTACTTAAAAGCCTACGTTTTTCAACCATTATCCATTACGTTACATCGAAAAAGTAAAACTCTCTTAACGGACGCTACATTAAAGTGAAACCATCACTCAAAGGGTGTAAATTCTTTTATATCGAATTCCCAAAACTTATTTCGTATTCAAATAAACGAATTGAATTACACATCACACGCGCGTGTTTATTTCAAATATCTCATTTATTTGACTCAATTTTCTTGACTAATCTCGTTGGACGCCGAAACTTGTACGACACAAAAAGCGAATAAGCCCGTACAGGTAGTCACTGGTGAGGTAGTTTATTTCTTGTACAAATAGGGATTATTCCGACCCTCGCAAGCAGAATTTTATTAGAGAGGTTTAACCTTTGGCCACAGCCTGAAGAGATGCGACCGTTCATATACAGTAAATATTCGTAAATATAAACGTAAGTTGCATATTTTTCAACCCATACTTCATGAAAGGCTTTTTTTTTTCAGAAAATATCCTCCCTTGGTATCTATTTCACTACATTTCTTTCACATTATGCCAATGCTTATGTAGAGTCAAGAAATTGTTTGTTAATTTAAATAGCATTGTGAATAAATAAGATCTAGCACAGACCTACTTTTCTCCATTTTACTCGTATCTATTCGTACAATGTGTAAGGACGATAATAATAATAAGGGTGTAATAATGTAGAGATTCTAAGTCAGTCCAATTTTATCAAATCCTATTTAAAATATTTCCCCAATCTTTGAACGGGCTGTATATTTGTTCCTTGGCAATGTTTAGCTGTTCCACTTGGGCTGTGTCAGGTGTGTAGCGTGGCTCGGGTGTTAGGTAATTATTATTTATTTTGCTGAAACTTAATTTAGCAAGCCTTTGACATTCGTGGTGTTCTGTTTGATGGGCAGTTTTGGAGGTGTTAATTTTTTAGATTAAAAGCGTTTCTGTACTCACATTATTATTTTAACGTAGCTTTCATAACTTATTTTAATTTTCTGTTAAGCCTCAAATGTAACACTAACAATTTGTGAACCTATTTTATTCAGATACATTTTAAATGAGTGTATTATTTTGACTATTTTCATGAATTGACTATGAATTCTATAGACTGTACCTACTTGCCTTTTACTTTATATCTTACTGGACTGTGCCTTCTCACTACCCTACATCAAGTGCCATATAAAGAAAAATCGGGAAGCAAGCCTATAGGAAACATTGCTATTTTGGAACACAATTTGACGTCGTCTTCAAACTATACCTTGGGGTATATTATTACAGCTACATAACTAGCTATAGAGGATTCATAGCTATTCGGGGAGCAATATCTATCAGGCAGACGCTATCTATCACATTTTATTGCACTACTACTCGTATGACGCCGCGGGCAACAACTAGTCTCACAAGGCTATCATTGTCAGCACCTTTTTATTTCACCTGAGCAAACGGACCCGGTCCATTAAATTCTTTCTCGGCTTTTTTAAAAACGCCGCCTCGACACTCGCCCCTTAGGCCCGGCTTCTTTGCAAGTTGACCCTTGGCAAATGTGATAACCGTTAACATGTATACGGATCAGGTTATATGGCGATAAATGCAGTTTGAGGAGACTACTATGTTTTGGAGTTTTGGAGGAGAAATTATACGTCAAACCCCTTAACTCAGTCAATGCTTAAGGTATGATGGGAGCGACACGGGAGGGGTGACACTGACATATTATGACGTCACAGAGCATACAACTCTGAAACATATCTGATGTCTCGCTGACGATTGACGTCTCAAAGACACCTCCCGTGAAGTCCCGTGCCGTTCAGGCACTGAATGAGTTAGAGCGTTACACCTATAATAAAATC